CACTCGAGACTAGTATTCAGAGAACTAACTAAGGAGCCCAAAAGCACCTCCACCCATATCCTCCAGCACCTGACGCACATCTTGAGAGGAGGAAGGGAGAGGGTTATATGAGCTCGCCTAGCACTGCACCCCCCTTCCTCCTCGTATATTTACACAGCTTCGTCCTCGCCACTGCAAAACACTCCATTAAATCTATCGTTAATGTTAGTACAACGGGGAAACATCACGAGAAATGGTTATGTATCTCACGATAATGAAGCTTTATGGGTAATACTACATTATTAATGTATTATTTACAAACATTTCATATGGTATTGTCCTACTTTTTATTACAATACTTTCATTCTCTTGGTATAATATTTTCGTATTTTTAACAGTACATTGTAACACCCTTATGTATTTCCATTCTTTTTGCATAACATTTAAATATTAATTTTTTTTTCGTCTTTTAATATTCTCATCCTGACCTTGATGTAATATTTTCATATCTTTATATCATTTTCATCATTTAAATATGTTCACGCTTTTATTTACTGGTAATTTCTTTTTCAATATCATATTTACTGTATATACATCACCGAATTGAATAATAAAATGCAGTTATATAAATCAGTTAACTCTTACAATTAATAAATAATAACAGATATTGCTTGTACTTTTAAGTTGCCAGTTAAACGAAGTATCTCATAAAAAAAAATAAATCAACTGTTTTGAGGACAGTCATAAACAATATAGACATAATTCTCTTACATGCAACATAAGCTACACAGTCATCGTCAACGGCAAAAGAACCATTTCCTAGCGTACAACAAAACCTTACAATATAACTTGGTGACCGTCAATGAATGTACCCGTACAAGTGTACATCTCCACAACCCAGTGCTTAGAGTTACAGTATGCTTACTACACTGTAATACATGTTACCTGAACAGTTGTACTCCCACAAGTGTATTTCTACACAACCAAAGTTCTCAATGCAATGTGATTTGCATGTTACCTAAACAGATGTCCAGTACATTTTTTTGCAATAACATAACGTATCACTGTACAGATCCTCACCACCTCTGAACAAGACTCAGTTAGAGCATCAATTAGCGTGGTGTGAGGGGAAGCAGGTGGTGGGATGACGTGCTGGAGCAGGCACATGTGTGGCAACACGAGAAGCTCCCCACGGCGTCTGGTCTGTTGCTTGTGTGTGTCAAGCAGACTGGTGGCTACTACCATGATACGATTGAGAGAGAGAAACTCCTGGTACTGATGGGGTACTGGGAGGATCACACTGGGGAAAGGATGGGGGCACTTCACTCTTTTAAGGGGCCCTGAGGAGTGAGAAGGTGGGGGGTGAATTTGCACTAAGGAGAGGGGAGGGAACAGGGCACCTCTGGAGAGTTGAGAAGAGGGAGGATACCTTAGGCCTTAGGGGGTAGGGAGAGGAAGGATATATTGTATCTGGGGTAGTGAGGAAGCGGGAGATATCTCATGGGGAGTGGGTATCGCTGAGGTACTGGGGAGGAGGAGAGAGGGGTACCTAAGGGGGATATCTCAGGGAGAGTAGGGAGGAGGAAAGGGGGTTTATCAGAGAGAGGGAGAGAGAGAGAGGGATGGAGGGAGGGAGGGAGGGTGTACGAGGAAACAAGGTAGTTCTTACACATCACCCTCGTGCTCCCTGACCCCGGCACGTCAGCTAGCCTCACAGGTGTACTAAAACTTTATAACTTTCCCTCAGCGGTTCATTGTCTTCATCATCACCATCAACATCCTCATGAACACCACAATCATCACCATAACTAACATCATCATCATTAATGACGTCCTATCAACAATATCATCACCACCACCATATTTCTCATCATCAACATTATCACCAAAATGTTCACCAACATCATCACCACCACTATCATTACTTACATCATCACCATAATGATCACCCTCAGTATCATCACTATCATTATTAGCAGCACCACCACTATCATCATTAGCAACATCACCACCATTATCATCATCATCATCATCACTATCATCAATATCACCATCACTCAAGACAGCATTAACGGGCGATATCTTTGTTCAGTCTTTCTACACTATTTCTGGTCCCAAATCGGTGGGTCGTATTACAATTGTAGTGCATATGCAAATTAATGGGCTGTTTTCAAGGTGTGTGTGTGTGCTTAAGGCTGATGTGTGTTTATTTAAAGGTGATGTGCGTGTCAGGGGGACAGAGGGTGCAGCGAGACATCTGTCCTCATTAAGTGAATGAAATCAATTATCTACAACGTTAATAAGGTAAGCGCAAGGTCATTTAGGAATCTTCGCCATTCTCGTGGTCTCATTACCCAGTGTGGCTTGCTTGCTTTCTTGCTTTCATTTCAGATAATGACACGGAAACTCGGAGTTCTCTCGTGGTTACGTTAAGCTTGGTTAAGTTAGATTAGGGTGGATTAGGCTGCGTTGGAGTTAGGTTAGTTTGGGTTCAGTTACATTTACTGTAGTCAGGCTAGATCTGGTTAGCTTAAAGAAGGTTACGATAGGTTAACTTATGTTAGATTAGATAAGATTAGGTAAAGTAAGGTAAAATAAGATATTGCAAAGCTGAAATGGGTCCAAAAGGTAAGATTAGTTTAGGTTAGGTGAGTCAGTTCAAGATAGTATAAGCTAGGTTAGATTTTAATTGGGTTAACTGTTACGTCGGGTGAAGTTGTTTGGAATAAATTCAAATAAGTTAAACTTGTATGTCATTATATTTGGACTTCTTTGCTTATTATTGGAAGGTCCGATTTTATTATATTTTGTCATTAAAAATATGTAGCAATATGTAAAGTGATAATTTCAATAGTCCGCTCCTTCCGACCCCGGCGGACGCTCGGTTTAATGAGTTTTAATTAGCAAGACACTGAAGAGCTGGGAACATAATTTTGTAGTACAGTACTGTACAGAATGTACACGGTCAAGCAAAACAAAATCATTACAGCTTTAAAGAACTGGAATAATTAACTAAGCATACTGTATCCAATAAATTCAATAATTGTTAAACATTTACAAAAAAATATATAAATCATAACTAGTTAAGCTACAGAAAGTTATTTTCTTTATCACTGAACTATATGTTATTCTGGAAATGATCCTCCAGTAGCAGTAGTCGCATCAGAAAAAAACAAACAAACATTTAGGAGTTAGTGATGAACCTGTCAGCTTATGTTGTGACAGCACCAATAGTGAGCTCTATTAAGTACACTCTTGACCAACACTGTGCATGTCTAGTGTTTGCCAGGTGCTCAAAAGAACTGACCGACCGCTCGACAGACTTACAAGCTGACACGTAGCGAAAAAGAGAAGTCACCCTTATCATTATCGTCGTTTTCTCTTATAGGTATATGTTCTTCTGCTTACTTTTAGGGTAAACTTCTCAGTGGTTGGCCACAATGAGCGTTGGTTTCAAAACATAGAACTTTGTAATAAGAAGCCCAAATAGAATGTCTTTAAGTCCTTCACATTTAGGGTGTAATATCTAATGTAAAACAAATTCAGTAAATTTCATAAGTTTGGAAAGATTTCAAACACATTTTTTTATCAACACTGGAGACAACTGAATCGTAATGTAAAATTTCTACCCCTGTGAAATATAAACCCCCTTTTACCTTATCAATAAAATAGAGGAAAATGCAAGTGACATATATAATTCACTACCACTCCTGCCTTTATGTCTTGGTTAGGATGGGATTGATTTACTTATGATTGAATGCCAAACGAAGTCATGACAAGCACTTAAATGGTTAGTGTTCCCTGGAGCAAAATTAAAGGATCAATAATGTCACTCAAGTACATCCACCCTCGACAAATTATTGCAAATATTTTCCAAGGGTGGCTGACACCATCCAGTACAAGCGTATTGCCTGATACATGCACGTCACTCACTCCAAGTTATATGCTTTTAAATTTTTGGCTAATATACGATTCTTGGCCGTCAGTGGTTCAATAATTACGGGAGGAAGGGTGTTTTAAGACACAGTTTTGTCCGCTGATTACTTTCAATTCTATTCATTTTGTTGTATAAATACTTAGTTTTAAAGATATAGCCGCGTTAAGATATAGGATAGGGAAGGTTAGCACATGATTTCAGCCAGTTTTATATTTTTCCTAACCTAATACAGTATACCCTATTAAAATCAGTGAAAACCGGGTATTTTCAATTAAAAACAGCGGACGGCACGATTCGAATAATTACCAATTTATTAAGGTACAGATCTTACTAATCTTGATAATAATATAAAGTGCGATCCATTCTTGGTTCTCTAATTACCACTATCGGTAAAGTAATTCTCATTCATTAAGTCTCAACCCAAGTCCAGATGTGGTTGGTTCGTTTTTCTTTTTGTAATACCTCTACTGGGAGATATCCTTTGAATGAGCCCAATGGTGAAGTAGCTTATTTGTTTCGATAGCTTTCTACTACATTGTAAACATTAATTATATTACCCTTACCAGATATAGTGAGTTACAACGCGGGTGAACCACAATTCAGAATATCCTTTACTAAAACACAACTTACCACATTTACTTCCTTCGCAGTATAATTTCAGCAGTTTCTTACACTAACTCTGGGAGCCATCACAACACAATAATAAAGTTACATTTTCGCCGTTTTCCCAACACCCGCACGACCGTCTGGCGCCTTCTGACCAGGGACACAGGGACCCGATGTGTAAAGTAGTTTAATTTTTTTTTTTAACTTTAACAATTTTACTTCATAACGTAAAATTATTCGTAATTATGATATCGATTCACATTTAGATTAATATTTCCCATGCTCAATGATACTTGTAGATGAATAACAACGATAAAGATATTTAACATTTCAATGTTGTTGATCTTGGGAGATAGCTGAAATTCTCTCCCTATTGTTATTTTAATTAATATATATATATATATATATATATATATATATATATATATATATATATATATATATATATATATATACTTTTCCGTAAATAAACAATAGATAAAGTTCTTTTTTATTTCCATATGCGTTAAGATAATCTCCATTAGGGTTGTTTACTGGGTAAAACCAGTGAGAGCATCAACCCTGAGGTCAGTAGGCGTCCCACAGTGTTCAGGTGGCCTCGCCTCTACAGGTCCTTCGTCAGGGGGTTGTAGTACCTGAGGGAGGAACAGCAACTATATAACTGACTGAGGTTTTAGTAAAGGAAACTTAAAACAACGGATGGCAGATAATAGTAAACTAAACCGGTTAGACTAATGTAGGTGTTCATTTATACAAGAAAATAGATAAATAGCGATATTAGACAATAAAGCCAATACCAAAAAAATCATTTCTGCGAGAAGTAGACAGAGAAACAGACAGTCACAGTTGTGGGTCTTACTGGGAGGCTTTCTTGGCGAGAGCATCAGCCCTCTGCTTGAGGAAGGACCACTCGTCCAACATAGCGTCCAAGTTTAAGTTGAGCCAGCGCACGGACTCAAAGTCCACCTTGGTCTGGTACAGGTCACAGAACTTGGCGCATGCCCCGTCCTCCTTGTGGGCCGGGTGGATCTGCTTACACGTCTCTGTGTAACCCTTCACGTTGTCTGTGATCTGTGGGCGACACCTGTAGGTCAGGAGGTGTGGTGTGACAGGGATAATGGTTCTGCAGCATGGGGGAAGACATCTGTTTTTCAAGAATATGTGGTCTATCAGGCCACGAGGTGTTCCAGGGAGGCTTCACGTGATACATCTTTGAAGAATAGGTAAATGATGAAATAGTGCTTCTCAACCATATAAAACTACTCGATGTAACATTAGTATTATAATTATTAGAAGTAGTAATACGATAATATTAATATTATCATTATTAATGTTATTTTTAAATATGGGTTGCATAAGAAATATTTAAAACTCATATAATCATATAAAAATCATGTTACTTATACAATGGCCCACCAAAATTTTATTTTGCGTGGCTGAACCCCGTCTAGCGATCATATCCTGAACTGAAAACAATAACGATACTGGGTGACAATAATATATGAAATGAATAAAAACACGTAAGGCAGAACTATGAAAAAAGGCTCATTGGAATCAAAGAAATACCATGGTCATGAAGCCTTACATCACCTGTGTCCAGAACTACAGTATAACAACACTGATGCCAAGAATACCACATTACAGTTTTATGACACCCCCACCGTGGCACGCACCCTGTATATGTCATAGCATGTCTTGCTCTCAGACCCTGGGGCCCCACAGTTACCCTCGTCGAAGTAACACTCGATCTGGGTGTTCCTCCATTTCAGGGTCTCGTGCTCGAGGTAGACACCGTACTCGATGTAGTGTTTCAGTTGACGTGAGAGGTCCACCCACCAGCGGGAGATCTCGCCTCCCACTTGCGTGTATGAATCTGCTGCGTCCTGCGGCAGGAGAGAAGTAGGGAGTGAGGTGAGTACTGTGGGAGGTAATGTATATGTATCTTTCTTCACCTGCTTTCAGTCGTGTTTGATCTTATCTGCCCTCGTCTGGCCTTAAATTAACTTCGTCAATATTAATTTATGTAGATAAAACTACTAAATTATCCTGACTATGTCCTATTTTAAACAGTATATGATATAATTATGATTGTTAATATTCCGGAACACTATGAATCTAAATCTCCTCTTGACATTAATAAAAATTACCAAATCTTACATTATGTTAGTTTTATATTAACTATAAGCCTATAATCCTTTCTTTACCTACACAATTAAACAAGTTAAAACAATGATAATTTCCTTCGCCTTTATTTGAATTCCACTGGCATTCCAAACTTTTCCCTACTATAATCTTGTCTTTAATATATGCCCCCCCAAAAATTAACTTGTTCTATAAAATCAGATTCAGATTTGCCCAGCGAAGCGCAAAAGCATTTACAGCGCCCAACGGGGGAGCACGCGTTGTTCATGCTTGCGTTCGTGACTCGTGCATTATGGGGGTAAATGCCTGAAGGGCCACTGGTTTTATCAGCAAACTACATACATAGTGACAGAATGATGAGTGTGTTGGTAGAAGGGGGAGTTCCCGGTACAATTCATCTGTTGATGGCTAAGCGTGGCAGGTCCCTAATAATGTCAAGTGCCAGGCCTGTCACTTGGAGAAGGGATTTCTGGTCAGGGAGGGAAGAGGTGTTGGTAACGGCTGGGGACCTGTAGAAGCTCATAGTGCAAGTGAGGATGTAGTGACAGAAGGTGTGAGAATCAGGTTGACGACAAAGTTTACAAATAGTACAGCCAGGCTCAGGGTTGCCACTGTATACTCCCCCATACCTGTATCGATTTATAATTCTGAACTTTTCCTTGACCCTATTTGACCTTACCTGACTTCCACTAATATCTCTCTTACCTTGAGGATGGTGATGTGAACGCTGGCGATATCGACGAAGTCAACAGTCAAGGACCAGGGCCTCTCGGAGGCCTCCACCAGGAACCGGTTGGTGATGATGGAGGTGGTGATGGCGTCCGCTACTGTGTTCTTGTCTGGGTACGTCCCGTCGCTCACCGCGTCCGCCCGCGTGTACCTGTGAGGAGTAAGGGTAAGGAGACGTGAGGGGTCAGGGTGGAAAGAACGAGGGGTTAAGAGGAGATAGAGGTCATAGGTCAGATAGGGGGTGGAAGAGGTCAAGGTCAAGAGTAACTGTTAACACGGGATGCGGACTATGATAATGGCAGTGGTCAGGGTTAGAGGAAAGAAATTAACAAAATTATGGAATCAAGACAAATTTCGATTGAGAACAGACGAGATAATCACCACTCACTTGCTGAGGAGAGACATGAGGTCCTCCTTATAGATCTCCACCTGATGGAAGTTGTGCTCGTTAATGAACTCCCCACACATCTCTGCCACGTTATCCTTGACGTGCTCCCAGTAGTTGTCCTCGGGCTTGGGTTCCCAGGCGTTGATGATGGCCAGCAGGAGGGCGGACACTGTCGGGTAAGGCACCAGCCCTGCCAGGAATTTAGCCACGGCGAAGCCCACCGTGATCACTGACAAGAGGAAGTAATATTACTAACCGCCAGTCGTTGAGCGTCAATGGTGTGTTATGTTCTGCTACCAATAAAGCTTTACTATCAACAGTGTGTTATTCTGCGACACTAGTAATTTATTTTTTATAATCTGACCTACAGTAGTGACTCGTGAGCTTCATTATGTGACCTGGTAACCCCTATGGTATAATAGATTATCAACCAATCAGAGTAACGTCCTCATACCTCAGGGATGGCGACCACAGTCCTCCACGCTAAACGTTCTATCTCTCTGGGGACCCAGTTTTTAATTTAATTCATTCATCCCAGTCTCTGCCTTCCCCTGATCCTAATTAACCAAAGTATCTATTTTTTCTTGTTCTGTACATTTCAAGTATTTCTCTTGAATTTTTATTTAATCTTAGTACTTCTTCATTTGTTTTCATGTAACTTATTCATAACATTCAGCGATAACACCACATTTCAAAGGCCTCCAAACTCTTTCTGGTGTCTGCTGAAAGTGTCCACGGTTCTGACCCATACACCAGTCCTTGCCATATAAGTATAGTTTTTCAGGAACCTTTGTCTCAGATTAAAGGTAATATTCCTTTTCATTAGGTCTTTTAGATTAATAAATACTGTTGTTGCTTTATCTATTCCTGTTCTGATTTATTTCGTACATCTACCGTCACATTAACTTTTAGTCACTTATAACTTCTCTCAATAAGAATTCTGAATACAGCATATATTATGCATTGTTGGAGATAGAACACAGCTTGTCTTACTCCCTGTCTAACTGTGAACTAAGAAGTAAGTTCATTTACTAACACTGCAGCCTCCTGTTGCCAGTAAAAAAAATTTAAATTCTAATATATGCTTTTAATAGTCCTACCCTTTTTTCCCACTTATTTTTATTTTTTTCTGGTTCTGTACATCAGTCAAGTTGGTATAACGCTCGCCTCTTGTTCCGGATCAATTCCTGAGCGCTCCCAGATCACCCTGTTATAAATGAGTACCTAGGTTTACAACTTGGGGAAGTGAATGCCGTCGGCTTAGTATGCAGTGTGCGGTATCCGCACTGCCCCTAAGGGGAGTCGTTTTTTATAAGCCGCAATCCGTTTTATCATATTTTTCCGTCGATATATTTTCTTTCAAATTTAATTTTTAATCCATTCACTTTTAGCCAAATTTGACCTGGTGACCTTTAGGTTCAAATTTGCCCCCATAGGGGCTAGTATATTGGGCACCCTCATGACCGTATAACTTAATCTGTTGACCTCGGTAGCCTTACAATAAGTACTGACAGGAAGTTAACACTCACGTTTTCCATCAATGTCGGGTTCGTCGGGGAAGGCAGTGACATAGGCGTCGGCAGGGCTAGTGAGGGAACAGAGGGCCAGCGTCATCCCCACCACCACCGCCGCACCACACAGCCATGTGCTCTTCATCGTCCTGTGAGTGTAAAATAGGATGAGAAGAGAGACGGAAGGTAAAAGGGCTGAAGGGAGGTAGAAGGAATAAGGGAAGGTAAGCAGGGTGAAGGGAGGTGAGACGGGAGGGCACGGGAGCATGCAGAGGGTCGGTCAACAAGCTCTTACTTTTAGGATGCAGGGTAGGAGAGAAGGAGTGTGGCGGTCAGGAACAAGTGTAGGAATAGTTGTGTGTATATATATATATATATATATATATATATATATATATATATATATATATATATATATATATATATATATATATATATATTATTATCTTATAAGTTTATATATGACGAAACGAATACTAAATTCCGGCTCGATCCAGTCATGCTCACAAAGCTAGGGTCAAAGACTATCTCGTCTGGTTTCAAGTGGTCTATTCATTTAACTGTTTCTGAGTATGCCCAGTACCAATCCAGTTTCTCATCAATACTGCCCAAAGCTGAGTAAGGCGTACAACTGTGTTTGTTCTTTTAACATTTTGATTCTGTTGGGGGTGGTACAGGTGTTACCTTTTCCCTAAACGTATTTTACAACATTTCTGTAACAATACACATCATCATAACTTAGGTTTTATTGTTGTTATCGTGTAATATACGTAAATAACACTGACTTATGTTTTGTGCTGAGTAGAATCAAAGCTAACTGCCTAAGTATTGGATATACTATAGAATATATTCATCCTTGCTGTATATATTCAGTATCCCTGTTCCGCTGTTCGTGTCTTCAGATCAACATTCAAAAGAAATTATTAACCAAATCAAGACTGCGTCTAGAAATCTATATTCGATGGCTTACTTTAATTCAGCAAACTAAAATCTTCTATATAAAACCCCCAGATTTTCTTCCTCGAGACACTTAGATATTGATCAGTTATCTATAAAATCCACACATGATGATCAACGAGACAAGCGATGTAACGTTACCTTGTGTTCAACGAGAGAGAAGACTGAACCAAGCTGAGCTGAGAGGGACTCTGAGGGAGGCGTCACAAGACAAGTGGGGTGCGACCAGTGGGGGTAAGGGGGAAGTACTACCCTCTTTTACATCGTCCCTGAGAACTCGCCACCTGGCTCCCCCAATGTGGGAACATGGCACAAGGTCGAGGTGGTGTAATATAAACAGCTATACATAAGTGGGAAAATGTACACACGTCATCCATATTATGGAGATTATTTTGACATGACAAACTCTAAAAATATAACATCTTTACTAACTTAACCTTTTTAGGATATATTGTATTGTGGTTATGATTGTGGTTATAAAGGACGTCGCAAATAAACAGCAAATTTAACCTTGCAAGAACAAATTTCCAATAAGTTAAAGCAATAAAAACAAAAAAGCATCCCTGGTAAACCGTTAGTTGTGAGGTAGTAGGCAGCTACCAAACAGGGAGGTACTACCGCCTGGGAAGATATTGGAAGCATAATGTGTTGTCTAATGGTAGATCCTGCTGCCATATGTGACCAAGTCCCAGGTTGATGATCTGATTTCTGCCTCATTTACACACAATTGCAGGGTCTCAATTGTTTCTCTTACCATTGACAACACAACATACATATATGGTTTCTCACTTTTGATCTTTTTTTTCATTTTTGTAATTCTTTATGGTTCTTTACTACTACTACTACTACTACTAATATTATTATTATTACAACAGTGTTATTATTATCATTATTATTTTATTTTTAATTTTGTACTTTTATTAAAAAAATTATTTACTACTAATTATTATTATTACTACTACATTTTCGCCACCCAGGCCCAAATGTGGGTCAATGACCTGTGCCTGGGTGGGCTAATCCCAGTAAAAAAAAAAAAAAAACCACAAGGTTTTATCCCTAAAAAAGAGGCAATCACACAGGAAAAAGAGAAACAATGGAGCACCTTAGCTTTCGTCTTTATTCAAGACATCTTCAGAGGCAACTGAATTACAAGGACTGAGAGGTCAGGTCAAAAACATGACATCCACTAAGACGAAAGCCAAGGTGCTCCTTTTTTCCCCTTTTTCCTCTGTGATTTTATCAAGATTTATCTTTTCCACGCTACCAATGTGGATCTACAGGAAATTATATATATATATATATATATATATATATATATATATATATATATATATATATATATATATATATATATATATATATATATATATATATATATATATATATATATATATATATATACACAAAAGGTTTATAGTCGTTGAATGAAAGAACTATAAGCATTGCGTAATAATTAAGTAATAAATAGACCTTAGTAGTACTGTAAAACTCGTGTGACACAACAGGTGTGAGGAAGAGCACGGTCATGGCCCCCACACTCCCAAGGCCCACTTATCTACCCCCAGCAACTCCTTCAATAACCCTTTCGACTTCTGTCTCCAGCAGCAACCAGCCAATCACAGCAGAGTGGGGGAGAACACACAGCCTAGCCTAGCCTCGCCTCTCACCACTAGGTGAACTCGGCCACTACCCTTCAGCCACACTCTAGACTTGAGTCGTCTCCCAAGACCCACATCAAGGTAAAGCTTTAACCACTGGAAACAAGCATATGATGTTATTGTTGGCTCTCTTAGGTCGAATCCACTTACTGTTTACTAGTGTTTGTACACCTGCACTGTCTATATATATATATATATTGTTTGTATACCTGCTTTATCTATGTACAGTACATTGTATACTGTACATGCTTTGGACTATGATTTATTCTTTGATTATTTTCCAAACGTCAAAATAATGATAATCCACATTTTCCAATTTGAAACTTTTCTTAATTTGAAAATGTTTTGAATTCTCTTCTGTAGGTTATCTTTTATTAGTAAGAAAAGATTATAATTTCAAATAAATCAAAAAGTGATGATAAATATAAACAAATCTTTACCTACAAGAACAAACGTTCCCTCAAAGAATTGTGGTTAATGGTGGACAGGGATCTTAAGTAGACACAAAGAAACGTTTACTCTAAGAACTAATAGTTAATTGTTAGAAATATACTAATAATGATGAATATTATCACAAGTACAATATAAAATTCCTGTAATATTTCTTCGCATTCTTGATTTTTCATACCTTTTCTGTTATTTCTCTATCTTTATGTCCCTATTTCTCTCTCTCTCTCTACGTAGTGTCAGTTTCTATTAATCCTAACTCTTCTGTCTGCCTATCTCTACACACACTCGTTGAAAATATGTAGACGGGTCCAGCATTGGCATCAGTGTGAATAACTCGGTTACTGATCACAGCGCCTTTTCATCTACACTATATCCATTGCACTATCATCTACAGTACACTACCATCGATTACATGCGCTCCACCATCATCCATACTAATCCGATTATATCATCTACACCACATCCAATGCACATTTACATAATCTACACTACACTCCAATACATACAGTACACCTACTGAGCTAAACGTCAGCAGCTTCTGCAGCTCTATGAATATTAATCCTCACCAACACATTCATGCAGTGACTTGTCTACTAACAATTCTTTCGCGGCTCAGGACTATTTTTTTTACTTTTGTTATTTGTATTCTGCATCTAACGTGTTACAATGATAACAGGAGTATGCGTGTGACACTGGTGTGTGGGGCGGTGGTGCTGCTGCTGGGTGCCATCACAGCTACAGCCGGGCCTATTACAGAGACCGGCGAACACATCGATGGCAAGAGTAAGTATGACCATTAAGTTGTGATGGGGGGCATAACTGTCGATACCTCTACTATTCTATTGTCTGTTATACTTAACGCCAAGTTCACGTGGCTGACTCGAAAATATTCAGTGGGTCATGTGGCTATAAGCCATCCCTTTTTCTAGACACCACCATCGCCCTGGCCATCATACATCAGCTGATTGGCCTTATTCCTAACGAGACGGTGAAGGCGTTACTTTTCACCATCATTGACGCCCTTACCAAGAAGGACTTTGACTACTGGGGCGAAGTGAAGGATGACGTGGCGGCTCTGGTGGGGCAGTACATCAACGCCCACAACATGCACCAAGTCGAGGTCTACCAAACTGATTTGGTCTCTCTGATGGAGAGGTGAGGGCCGAGGTCTAGAAAATTTAGTTTGTTAAAAATCACTCAAAAAAAAGACTAGTCTCTCTCTCCGAGTTTTGTCAGACGAGACAGAACCGTCGGTCTCTGAAGAGTTTAATGGCTTAGCCACTTGACCTTGACGGAGATGAAAAGATTATATGACCTAACATCTCACCACACTGTTTCATCTCATCCTCCCTCCTTCACTTGGCCAGGTACAACAATGCCCCTGTGGAGAGCGACATTTACCCTGATAAGAACCATCAGGCGGCAGCGCTCTCCACCTCCATAATCACCCACCGCTACCTGATAGAGGCCGCCGAGTTGCCCCAGTCCATGATACTACACTTCGAGGACATCTCATCCATACACGTCGTCGTGCTCAAGGTGAGAAACATCTTACCTGTATAATGATCACGACTCTCACATACAACCATACAACTGTTCTCTCACACACACGCGTGCACTCGTCTACATTAAATCCTCTCGCCAGTCATTTTTTACATTTCGAAAACCTCGCTACTTGTCACGTCCAGAGAAAACAATATGAACTGTGCTATTAATATATTTATCTATTTATTCATATCCCTATCCATCCATAACTACATGAATATGTTTTCTCTTCTTACCTTTACCCCCTTCTCCTCCTCCTGCTCTCTCCTTCACTTCAGATTCTCTTTTCACCCTGACATGTCCCTCCCCTTCTTCTATCCTCCCTCACCACCAGGACGCGGCCGTGACCTATTCCTTCGAGGGTCATGAACCATCGCGCTGGTGGGTGGACCTGGACGAAGAGCTGGACCACTACATCACCTACGGGAAGAAGCTCGAGGGGAACCTACACGAATGGCGCCAGGCAATGATCTCCTGTCATGAGACTTACAATGACAACTCCCGGCCTTGGCTCGGTGCTAAATACGACACCTTCATTGTGAGTTGATAGATTGTGGTAATTTTTGTATCGTTCTGCATTCTTCTTGCTGTGTGCTGTTCTAGTTGTTTTTTCTTCTCAATGTGTGTGTGTGTGTGTAAGGAAGGTGTTTACAGGGTTTTATAAATACTTCCTCACAAAGCATTAACACCTGGTTCCTCTCTTCCACAATACCTCCAATGCCTAGTACCTGTCTCCCCCCACCAGGTGACGGACCTAGTGACGGGAGAGGTGTCAACGTGTAAACAACTGGAGGGGACACACGACTGCGAGAACCACTGCGACCTCTACAGGCAACACAAGGAGAACGAGGTGGGGATGTTCACAGCAGCCAAGGTGAACAGCGTCCTCGATACCTGGGTGGAGTTGAAGAACGTCTCCTCCCACTATGCTGGACAAGCTTCTAGGTGAGAGAGAGAGAGAGAGAGAGAGAGACCCCATTTACGTGAGTAAAGGAGGGCAAGTGGGATTGAAGGAGAAAGACACACAACCAGACCCTTTGACAAGTCATGGAGGGGGAGGAGGGGGAAAATCCACTTGGTGAATCAGGAAGACAGACAAATACAGAGACAAAATAAAATAATTGTCGCTTCCGAGCTCCAATATTGATATACCTGTAATTTTGTTTTTTACATAATGTATGCATAAACTGCCAATATATATGTTTAAAATACATAGATTTCATTGAAATGAAATGAAATGAAATGAAATGAAATATATATATATATATATACACAGGAGTATTTATTATTATTCGTAGGTTCTACAATCCACTAAAAGGGTATTAGAATGCATCAAGATCGACTAACCCATAGAGCCAAGCAGCGCATGCCTCTATGTGAAGATGTTGATGATGTGTAAGTGATGTCATCAACACTTGGACGTTGATGATGGTCATTCTTCCCAGCCGTTGATGTTGAGGGTTTATCTACGGACGCTGATGAGGTGTTGCCACAAAGAATATACGTATATATACTGTATTGAGAAAGTTAAATGTTTCTCTCTTCCTTTTTTGTAGTGGGAATATTATCATAATATAGTAATTCTTATTAACTGGAGTCACACCTGTTAATTTCCCGTTATCATTACCCCTCCTGTTACTTCCATTAAAAGTATACAATTACATTCACCACTTCCATTTTTTCTTGTTCTTGTTTACTTTTGTTTGGTCTTCCTTAATGATCCAAGTTATGTTCATCATTTCCGTTGTTATGAATAATGAAACTGAATTTTGCCAGAAAAATACATATACTCGTACAGAGTGGACAATATGACCAATATTGACATGGCTGAGCCAAGTGAGAAACCTGAGCCTTCTTAGTGGCACCTGATATACACTGTAAATTTATCTCATGAAATTATTATACGTATAACATTTAGTATCATCTGGATTACTACATGTAACAGTGTTAGTAAACATGAGGAAGTTACCACTTTTTTTTATATTTACATTATAAATACACACATTTTTCACAGTAGAGTTGATATACAGTGATCTGATAAGTGAGTGGAAGTGATAAAACCTGGGTTGTGTTAAGGTTACAGACAGTGTGAGGACCATGTCTTGACAACAAAATATATAATTATTGAGATGGTGATTTCTATCAACCTGACTATATGATACAATGGTTTCCAATGGTGCAGTAAAAAAAACTAAAAAGAAGTGTTACAAAAATATTAATACTGTACTTAAACAATAGATATCTTTCAAGAAATCACTGAAAAAAAGGAAGCGTAGTCTTTGCTCGGATGGGTAATCATTCTGCCAAATTCTAAAATAGATATGCTAGGCCTCATTATTTCCTCTAATATGTCATGGAAGCCACGCATCCTCAACATTGCTAAAGCTGCCTCCCAATAGCTGGGAATGCTGCACAGATGCCATAGCTACTTCACTCCTGAGCAGTTGCTTCAAGTATACTGTATAAGGGATTCATTCGTCCGAACTTGGAGTACTGCTCTCAATATCTCAGGTGGCTCTTCTGCTGTCCAACTGTTAGATAGGGTGGAATCAAAGGGATTTTGTCTTATTAACTCTCCTCCTTTAGTTGATAATCTCTCTTCGCCGCAATATTGTTTCACTCTATCTCTTTTACAGGTACTTTAATGGGCAATGTTCGGTGGATTTGGCATCCTGTGTACCGCCGGCAAGGCCGTGGGCTCGTAACACACGTCTTGCCCGCGGTGCCCACCGTTTCTCTGTGGATGTCGGTCACACGAGAATAACCAATTACAGTACCTCCTTCTTTCCTCACACAGCAAACCTGTGGAATGCTCTGCCTCCTTCTGTGTTTCCATACTTATGCAATCTGTCCCACTTCAAAAAGCTGATTTTCCGGCCTCTTCGTGGTGTAGATTAACACAGTACAGTGATCCCTCGGTTAACGAAATTTCAGTTAATGAATTACCTTCCATAAGAATCTTCAATTCGGTTAACGAATAAAAATTAGATTAACGAAATTCTTACGAAATTATGTCAACATGTTTTCGCTTGCTCACCAACTGGAATATTAGTCCGCCAATACAGTAATCGGTTCTAGGGCTTAAATTCGTTACCATTTGAGTAAATATTAAGAAGGTTGTACTATTCAATAATTTTCCAAGTTTTATATAAATTTTTTTAGTCATTTTAACACTTATTTAACACAATTGCAGTACAGGAAACTAGTTTTTGGTGCGCCATTCAGCCACTTGACTCACCCACAAAGGCGTCAGTTTGTATCTCTGGTCAGTGGAGGTAACATCTTGCTTGTGGCTCTCTTGAACATAAACTATTTTTACGTTTTTACAGTACAATTATTGGTCATTCTGAAATTTATTTTACATATTGACAATATATAGTGCAGTGCAGTGTTGATTTAAAGAAAATAATCTTGAATTACACCTAGTGAACTTAAAATTTTATGGGTGAAATGACATCATGAAGCATGGGGTGATTTCTCTTCCACCCCCACTTCCTTCTCTTCTCCCTTCTCCTCTACCCCCACTTCTAATTCCCATCATCATCATCAACCAGGAGCCTTCTACATACACACCTCAAAGCAAGTGTACTTAGCTGCATTTATTTTTACTTTGTATGTATGAAGATTCTTATGGAAGGTAATTCGTTAACCGAAATTTCGTTAACCGAGGCGTTCGTTAACCAAGGGATCACTGTATTTGGTTAGATTTACATATGTGATAATCAGAAAAGTTACATAAACAAACATGATTATGAAATAAAACTCCAATGAATGAGTGAATTTAATTTTATAAAAATAAAGTTTTCAGGAAAATTAGCAACATGGAAATATTGACAATGACAAGTAACTTGGGTTTGTCACCCGTCACCTAGATTTTCTCTATGACAATCTGAAATAAGAAAAGGTAATAAATAATAATACTAACTTAAAAAAAACATATGCAGTACAGTATATACAAACACTCATTAGATCACATGTATATATACATCTTACTTTGATTCAACCCCTTGATGACTACACCAAGAAAATAAACAATAAAATGACAAGAAAAGGGGTAAAATGACCCCTAACGTGACAAAACTACGAGATTCTAAGTGAATGCCTCATCTACACATGTCACCCTATGATAAATCACCAAGTAACTCGCCTCAACTTTCTGGATTCCTTGAGTGGACAGCACATGTATATGAATCACATACAGTACACTAAGATAGGACCATCTAAATGACTTAACAGTATTGCATTTTATCCCAAACTACTGGGTACACTACTGGTACTACATTGTACAGTATGTATATGTTAAAACCATCACAAAGGATGCTGACTCTTAAATATTCAATTCCCATCAAGGATCAAAAGTACTGTATTTACAAAATCTGTTAACTGTGTGTAATCAAAATAATATGGTGTGAGTAATTAAGCTTCTGATGACAATTTGTGTGATTTTGGTGATTAGTGTTTGTGATTATTTTCTTTTTAGTAAAATGCTATGAGCAAGATACTGTAACAAGCATGAGAAGCCTTTTTGTATGAAACTGACTAGGAAAACAGCCATTATAATAGTGTACTTTACAGCAGACAAGGATCCTATTAAGTAACCAACAATAGAAACGAACACTTTAACAAGAACAACATTGCCATTATTATATTGACATATACTGTATTGAACCTAGACCTTTCCAAAACTCAACAATGACATCACTATATTCTGTAATTATTAATAAAGAGTAAAGAATAGTGTCTGTGTGTGTGCAAACTATGATGGTAGAAATAGGTAGAGGAAGGTGTGAGAGTTGGTGGAGGAACCTTACTAAGAGAGAGGGAGGAAGGAAGATTAGGCTGAGAGAGAGAGGAGGGAGAAGGAAGAGGAGGCTGAGACATATGAGAAGGAAAAAGGGGGTAAAAGAGGGGAAGGAAGAGGAGGATAGGAATAAACTGAAGGATATGAGAAGGAAGAGGCGGGTGAGAAATATATGAGAAGGGAGAGTAAGCTGAAAAATATATGAGAAGAGAGAGTAGCCTGAGAGAGAGAGATATGAGAAGGAAGAGTAAGCTGAGAAAGAAGAGGGTGGACAGTCAAAAAGATGGAAGAGGGTAAAGGAGATGATGGAAGGAAGAGAGAAAGAGCATTACCAATATACATAAAACAAATACACATCTGCCATGGAGTAGTATGTAAAAGTTTTGATACCAGCAAAATAAATAAGCCAAAAGCATTTGCTATAATTACAAAAGATAATATTGAAAGTCAAGTTAGAAGAGAGATTAACAGTAATGGTGCACAATACATGTTTTGAAGGTCTCAGGAAAAAACTTCTATTAAAAGTTGCATCTATACTTGAATTTAAATTCTTCATACCTGTATATATATTTTCAAAGAGCTCTGATATTTTAAAAATCATTTGGATGAAAAGGAAAAAAATAACTTTATAATGTGACAAGTGATGATAGCTTTGTCTAAGGACTGTTTGTTACATACCAACTCAACAAGGAACAATACAGGCAAGTAATTTTTCCCTTAAATTCGGTAAAATTTAAATAACAATAAGATGAATATCTGCACTTGGAAATGTTAAACTTGGCTGCAATGCAAAGACATACAAACTGTATCTTGGAAACTGTGATTTTTTTTAAATGAGTATTAGTGGCATTCTTAGGACAGTATACACCATGAGGCATTGGTTACCAACAATGTTAAAAGGGCAAAATTAGCTTAAATTAAATATTTACTATACAGAAAAAAATCTACATAGCTACTTAAAAGAAAAATTTATCACCAATGACCCAAAGCAGCAGAAGTCTGTTTTGAAATTACTGCACCTTTATCAAGACCCCTGTGCATAACTTGTTGTAGTGAGCAGCTGAGATCCACTTGGTCTCTATTATGGCTAACATTGTCATTATTCATTGAAATACAAGGAAAATTACTACAGTATTATAAAAATACAGTATCTGTAGTTGCTGTAATTAAAATAATTATCCTTACTGTACATATATTGAAGGATAAGTTGCTTGATTATTCTAAGATGGTAATCAAATGGTCCGTACCTTAATCGTCTGAACTGGTGACCAGATTAGGTTGGGCTCTCTAGGGCTGGGGACTATTTGAGCAGTCAGATTTTACTTATACAGTACAGGTACACAACAGTATACTGTACAACAACTAAGCAAACTGTTTTCAATATGTGTACAGTACCAGCTGAGTAATGGTGATAGATGTAACTTAAACAAAATAATTGTTTAGCATATTTAAAAAAACTGATTGTAGCCCACACTTAATTTCCACAAAGATATGTGTAAGAAAAAGTGTATCTTTTCTTAACTCTGTACTAAATTTTCTTTTTAAATTATTATGTGGACAGTACTCACGTTAATATCAATGATGCATTTCTCAATAGTTAGTACTGTACAGAGAAAGAATAAAACATAATGTATATCATCGAAGAGGAATTGAATTACAAAGACTATTAAGCCATTATTGCAGTTAAATAGGTACGAGTTTGTACACATTACTCAAGTATAATTATCATCATTACTACCCAAAAGCTAATTACAATTACACTACACTACACTACTAAATGCAATGGTTAGTTGTTTGTTACAGAAGTACTCTACTGTACATTATGTCAAAACCCAGCAACAATATTGACACGATTTTAAGCATGGGGCACTACACTAAAGCATCATCCATAAAGTCACTGCAGAAGTACCTTTCTTTTTCAGAGATGGTACAGGTTAGCTCCTCATACTGTTAGGATTACAATAAGTTTTATCCACAAAGTCTGTCCATGAATTCATGCAATTTTCTCCCTTTTACTAAAATTGAGTTTAAACTTAAAATCCACTAATTCACACACAAATGTGAGCCCAAATTTTGCTGGAATCACAATTAGTATCCACAGGAGCATTCCATTATACAGTACCTAACCTTATTATTGGAATCATTTCACTTTAAAGAAGGAATACACAGAGTATATTACTGCACAAAAGACATGTTATACTGTAGTGCCCCATACCATCAGGTTGGAAGCTAAAATTCAGTGGCAACATATTAAACCATTAAAATTATAGCCACTTATTACCCTCAACTATTTTAGCTATTCACATTTTTTAAAGCTAAAGAAATAAAGCTTATGTTACTTATAAAGCTTCATGGACTATGACAGATAAATTAATAAAGTATAAAGACCTATTCTGGTACTGTAGGTAAGATATATAATTCCTCTTGAAAGAACTGTTTACTTACACATAAAATGGGTGATGTATAACAAGTTAGGAAAAACTAATGTTACTTATGCATTCTGGAAAGATGACCACATTATAATTAAGCTCTTCAATGGAAGTATCATCAACAATCAAAAACATTAGCAAAGTAATGGTGTAAGTATTTTTTCGTAAATTTACAATGATGGATAGTTCATGCGAGTTTTCTGTTACTTGCATGTAGGAACATCAATCAGAATACAGTGTTTACTATCAAGAGGAGTGGCTATTTTAACAGTCTTCCACAGAAATTACCTGATACACAAATATTTACATTTGAAGAGTGCATTGCCATACAATCAGCCTTATTTATTGAAATACATTGAGACAGTTATATCTACCACTGAATTTTTCAATGCACATAACCACAAAAAGCAATGAGGAGATTCCCAACAATATTTTAGTGCTTGGTAGCAAAGCTCCATGGTAGGTGGGACTCTGTACTAGTCACCTTACGCTGGGGAGGAGGTCTGTTAGTTGGAGCCTGAGAGAGTGCATCCAGAGAGCTCATATTAATGTTAGGAAGGTTAAGGCGGGTCATTAGGGGGTTCAATTCATTCTCATCACTCGCTACTGTTACCTGTTCCCACTGACGACTGGCCGATGACAGTTTGATGGCATCGATGACTGCTTGAACATACTGACCATCTTCAAATGTGGCAGCACTGGAAACGGGCTCTTTCAGCCAACCATGTTCTCCATCTCCTGTTGCAAAGGCTTCTTTAAGAGCCCCAACCAATCTGAAGAGTCCTTGAAGGTAAGGCTGTGGTAACAGAGAATTGATTCTGGCACTATTGTTCTTGTTTGTTAGGTGAGCCACATCATCTGGGCCTTCATGAAGTTGTTCTTCCTTTTCAGCTGTATGGTTCTGACCATAGAGGTTCGCTCCACGCACAACTAATCTCCCACGGCTGCCACACACTACCACTTCCTGAGTGAAACCTCCTGCCATGTGACTATTAAGAGTAGCTGTTACACAACTTCCACCATCTAAGATCATTTGAAAGCTGCAAAAGTCATCACTATCAATCCACCTGATCCCATTTATTTTCTCTGTGCTTTTAGTGAAGGTGCGCATCATGCCATGGACACGATTTGCTCGCTGTCCCGTAACAAAAGACACAATATCAATGATGTGGCTGCCTACCATAGTCAGTATCCCACCACCCATCAGATGACTACACATCCAATCAAACTGATTTCCAATCATGCTGCCACAATGCACTCTCACATCACACACATTGACCACACCCACATAACCAGCCTCTATCTGCCGCTTCATGTGCACAAATGCTGGCAAAAATCGGAGCCCATGGGATATAACAGAAATGAGTGATGGATAATACTGAGCAGCGTGTACCATCTTCAGCACCTCAAGCTGTAAAAAAAATAAAAAAAAATAAAAGAGGTGATTTAATGACAGCATTCATAAAATCTTATGTCAAATCTATCTGTGAAACAAATACTGCATCAGTGCATCAATGTTAATGCTGACCCGATGAATATTTTTTAGCACTGTACTAAATTTGCCTATGTTTATTAAATTAAATTTATATTGGAAATACTGTACAGGTATCCCTCGAGATATGAATGGGTTAGGTTAAAAATAAAATCAGAACACATCACAGTAGACAGTAAGGGAGTTACAATTAACAAAACTTGTTTGCCACAAAAGCAGCACATGGGATGCACATTTGTCAACTTGAAGCAGTTTTGCTCTCTATAAGTTTCTAAGTAACTTGAAATGTGTACAATGCAAGGCAGGGGCCCCCACTGCACTGGCATGAGAGAGCAGTTTAACTTTGCCATATGTATGATGGTAATCAATCAACAACACTTACAGATTTCTATAGTTCTTGTCTTAGTTTTGATATAACAGACTCTGCCTTTTTTAAAAATAGAGATGCATCTTTCACTTTAGGAATTAAATGCCACCATAATTATAAGTAATCATGGGTTAAGGAAAAGTGTGACTGCCTCTTGATCTATTGAAAAATATAACACAAAAATAGGAAACAAATGGTTTCGAATAATTTTCGCTTTATTGTTTGTGCAGAAATTGCGGTCAACATTTTGCTGTTCATTGGTTCATAAATCAAATGGTTTAAATTTTAGATATCAGGACAACTGCCCCCCATTTTCAGTAAATAACTGGCAAAAAACATGCAACACTAAGAATCAATGCTTCATTTTCATGTTTTATTTGTAGTAATAATTATATACACAAAATGCACAACTCATACTTTTTTAACATGACAAATCTGTAATTAGAAAAACATTGATAAAAAATTATGATTAAGTGAAAAAAATTGTGACCGAAGTTTGTGTGGCCATCCGACATGAACTGTCGTGTTTACACGCACTGTATTCCTAGTTACAGGCTCATGTAAGCGATTAGGAATGTAGCGCAGCGTCGTGTGGCTGCTTCCCGACACACGATGCATTGTGATCATGATCGCCATCATCATTATCGTCGTAATGACTAGGAATCTGGCCCCTAGTGTTTTGATGGCGGGAGCTTCAGCTTGCCCCAGTCGTCGCTAGGTGGCAGCATCTACTGGGCTGGCATGTAATTCAAACCCAAAATGACTGTAGTCAAGTTACGCGTTAACGGAAAGTTTTTTTTACGAATGTGGACGAAAGTCGATTTACACGGCGAAGGACAAAAATAAAAATGTGAATAAAGTCGAGCCATGCGGTGAAAGGGGTAAGGGTGATACTGCATTGAGGAATAAACAGAGCCTACAGCACAGGACATCTTAATATAATAATGTTTATAATCTGCTAAAATCAACATTGTTTACCTGACAGAGGCCAGCTGGTCTATCACAAAGAACATGCTTGCCAATGCCAAGAGCTTTAACAGCAATCTGGGCATGAAGGTCTGGTTGACAAATGATGAACACCAAGTCCACATCCTTCCTCAGCAGCACATCATCCACCTGGGTTAAGAAGTGTGATTAATGTGCAGTCGCAGTCCATGGGTACTCCATTACTTTTTTTTGCCACAATTAAAATCTTTTCCCTACTACATTTCTAATGGCTAGAATCAAGGGCAACACAAACTCTCCCTTCATTCACTCACTGACTTTACCCGCCTGATTTCCTTTGCGAAAAAAATTATCTCTATCGGTATATATATAGGAAAATGTCGATAATTTTGGTAGCCGTGATATAAAAAAATCGTTATATAAAGTCGCTATACTGTATATCCCGACCCTACTGTACCGTACCAGGTAATTTTTAACTGTTCACTCAGCAATGCCTTTATCTTTCTTTGTCTCAATAAATTCTTAGAAATAATATAGCTAATGAACTTACCTTATTAGTATGAAATGGAATGTTGAGTTCTGTTGCAACATTTTCTGCAGCTTCTAGTGTGCGTCCCCAAACTGCCTCAACACGAAACCCTTTTGCTCTGAGGAATGGTACCAGGGCTCTGACAATGTCCCCAGTGCCAAATACCCCAATACCAGGAAGCATGGCTCACTTTTAGGTCTGTAATACAATAGTATAAAGCACATTCCATAAAAATTTCATAAGACTTATATCAATGATTTTACAGCTATAAATCTTTATTATTTCCAGGAGATGTAAGCTGCATTTTGTATGCCGACAATTTACAATAGATAGTGTTGTGTAGCGACACTTTACAACGGCTAGTTTTCTATATTGACTACTTACAACAGTCAGTTTTGTATAGTGACTACAGTAATCTCTCCGTCAACCAGAATCCCTCTTAGCCGGAACTCTCCAATACTGTACTCTGTAGTCAGAATTTATATTTACAGGTACATACTTGGAATTTTTAAGGAAAATTTATCTCAAATTCGGGTTTGTGAACAATTTTCCAAAGTTGAAAAATCAGGTGCATTTTCTGGAAAATTCTGATGAAAATTCCTGGAAACTCTCTAAATCATTCCATTCTGGGACTGGAAATAAATTTTCTGGGCATTCCAAGAGACTGCATCACGCTCAAGGACATCTCCACGTGCCAGGCACGTGGGTTGCATAGCTGCCTGGATCGCCTAGTTCATATTCTGCTGCCACTGTAGTAAGTTGTTCCCTCGCTAGCTGCTGTTTGTGTGTACAATTGAGCCGTGCAGTGCTGTACAATCCTGCACCAGATCAAAATTACCCATGTTAACCCAGTGTTAGCACCAGATCAAAATTACCCATGTTAACCCAGTGTTAAGAATATAAAAAGCGATTACAGTTACGAATAATATACTGTACTGTACAGTACATTCAGTAAGTGGTTAACACTGGAGCCCCTTTGCTTTCGTTGTTACTTGAGACGTCTTCAGGTCATGAGCCCACCCCAACAATGGGTGACCTGATATTGCATCAATCAGCAATGCAATTCATATTCTGCTAACTTTAGTCTGTGACATTTTATGTCAAGAGTAGTCACTTTTATTAGCCTCCAGAACCTAACCCTATTTTCCCTATTGATTACATGTAATTATATATAGCAAACATCAATGGACCATATCTCGCGTACTGTACCGCATTTTTTGGCAAATAAGATGCACCCCCATTTTAGTAGGGAGTACTTTGGAAAAAAACTGTTGTGTGTATTTTCCTCATGTAGCCATAGTTTCCTTAAATATATACAGTACCAGTAAATGTGAGCATTAAAAATAATACCAATTATAAAAGTTATATCCCCATTAGCTGGAACAATTGGTGCAGAGCACCTCCGGCAATGAGAGATATCTGGGTAACGAAACAACTCTCACAAAGCCTGAAAAATTCATCCCCAGAGTTTTTCGGGTAACGGAAAAATGTTCTCGGACGTTTCAGATATTGCCCATTACATCATATCTTGAACCCGGAAAAATATCCCTCATTCCCGCAATTTTCCGGGTAATGGAAAATTTTTCTCGGAAATTCCAGAAATTGCCCATTACATCATCTCTCGAACCCGGGAAAATATCCCTAATCCCCCCAAATTTCCAGGTAACTGAAATCTTTTATTGGAATTTCTAGAAAATGCGCCCGATTTTCATTATTCAAACCAGGAAAAAACTCCCCCATCCACTGAATTTTCCGCGTATCAGGAATATTTTCTTGTAATTTTCCGGAAAATGTGCCCCTTGAAAAATCGTTCCCAAAGCCATGTGTTTAGGATTTAGTGATTATATATTACAGTACAGTGTGAAGGTTGAGATTTAATGTTCATTTATTATTACTTGAGTTTTCTGATTTCTTTTGTTGTACTGTATATATTTTTTATAAAATTCTGTCATCAGCTTTAGTTATACTTTTGTAAATAAATAGTAAGTTTGAACTTTGAAGGTAATTTTTCTTATTAAACAGGTTGAAGAATTTGTCAAGGGAGGGGTGGAACCAAAAATTTATTTGTATCGCAACATGTGGGAGGGGCTGATGACAAATTTTCACGAGTTCTATACAAAATAGGGTAAGAATTGTGAATAGTGAGTTTTGCTGAAGTTTAACCGACTGGTTTCTTTTTCTGTGCTGTGGTATTGCATGTAAATTGTGTAACAATGTAATTTGAGCTAGAAACATTTGCTAGTAATCCTAGTGTAGAGTACCTGAGACAGGTGCATTTGAGCAAAGAGGATTGCATTAAATTGGCTCATTAGTAGAGGGCCCAAATTAAACATCACTGGAGAAAGTCTGAGGTGGAAAATGCTGTTTTACGTCATCTTGTAAACATGTACATGCATTGGTTCTCATTGTCAAAATAATGTACATACAGCTGCTTCCCGACTTACGACTTGGTTAGGGACCCAAATCCAGGTCGTAAGTCGAAAAAGCTTAAATAATACATAGAAAATCTAAAATGGGTGTCTCTTTTTCTTCTCAGCACCACAAAACTCTCACATTTAAGCTTGCCAGCCATTTTAAAGTGAATCACAAACGAAAATTTTGTCAGTACACAGCGCAATCACTGACGTTGGGACTCGAAAATACGTAATTTGACAAAATTTTGGTACGACTGAGGCAGTCGTAGGTCCGGGTGGTCATAAGTCGAGTACAGTGAGTTCTGCAATAACGCGTGTTTTGACAATGCAAATTGGCTCTAACACGATTTATGAATAGAAGAACGATATTTGTAAATCGCGAACGCTTGTTTGCCGTAACGCGATTTTTGCTTACTATTTCTCCAATTTTGTGGTATTAACTGTGAATATGGTGAAGAAGAATATCGTCAAGAAGCGTTCTGGTGATCGCAATCCCGGTGATGATCGTAAAAGAAAGGCTATAACACTTGAAGAGAAGCTCGATGTTATCAACCTCAAAATCACCCTTCTCCTCCATCAAGTTATATTCATATTTTTTCAAGGTAAAGTGTTACATTTACTGTATGATTTCATTATTAGATATGAATGTAACATTTATTTAGACTGTGCTATCCTTTGTGTTAGGCTAACTACTAAATTTTTTTTGATTTCGAGTAATCTGCACCTAACCCTATTTTCTCCATAAGCCCAGTTATTTCTATTGCACGAATTTCTATAACACGATGTTTTACAAGAACACAACTATCGCGTTATAGCAGAACTGACTGTAGGTCGTAAGTCGGGGAGGAGCTGTATAAAGATAAGAACACCTGTTACATTTCCAGCACAAATTTGTATTTTTCCAGCATTTTCACCGTTAAGACATCCCCAATTACCACCAATATTGGATGTTCAAAGTGGGCAGGTTTTGAAGTAGAGGAAAAATGTGGAGTAAAAGACTAAAAAGAACACCAAATAAACCTTTGAAAACCTGACCTAACCTAAAAAAATCGTAAAACTATAAAATGCTTAGCATATTTGTGTTTTCAGTGTTTACTGTTTAGTCTGTGATGGTGAAATTTTCGGTGTCAAGATGAGGAGGGGACTTATAAATATCAAAGCAATTTTTAACCTTTCTATAAGTTAGGTAAGGATTTCAAAGGTTCTTTTCAGTACAGTATTATTATCATTTCAGTCATGTACCGAATTTTAGGATTTCAAGTTTAGGTTGCTTTAGGTTGGGTTGGGTTAGGTTGAAATTGTTTTTCTGATGGTTTTTGGTGTTTAGGATGATTTTGACCTACTTCCAAATACACTAGGTGCATGACCGAAATTATTATAATCTTACCCCACATTTTCCCAACTATTTAAAAGCCCTGCCCACTCTGAACCCCTACTTAAAAGCCCAGCCCACTCCTAACAACCAATATTATTGATAATACCTGTTAAAATACTCGAAAAATATAATTTTACGACAGAAACCTTTTTTTTTCTTCTCCGTATATACATAGAAAGGTATTACTGTATTATTGTTTCAGTCATCCAGCGATTTTAAGGATTTTAAGTTTTAGAATCAGTAGTTTAGGCAATTCTAAGACACCTTTCTTCTACAGCATTTCTTCCACTCATAATTACTTTCAGAGAAAATCACAATAAATTTTTGGAAAATCATCGTAATTTTTCTAAGTTCTTGTTTTTGTTATCACCGTCTCAGAGAGCTCCTGTGTGTTCGCGTGTTGCTTAGTATGCTGTATTCCGTATGCACTAAAGTCTGACATATACGCAGTTTTTCTTTGGACATATTAATTGGTGGGTATGATTTTGGATCAACCATTCACAACTCGGTATAGACCCCCTGCTGCTACCTGCTTGAATTTGATTTTAGTTCCAAGACGGCTTCATTATGCAATGACTGTAATGTTAATTATTTCCAAGCCATCACAAGATTTAATGCAGAATATTACAATAAGGACAATGAGCCGTTGAAATTTCTCCACGAACAAGGTGTTTTGCCAACTGAGGGTACTTGCGCAAACTGTAACCAGCCCTGTACATAGCTACAAAGCTGACAAACACCTTTGGTACTGTGGAAGGAGAATTGCTACGACCTGTGGATGACAAGGAGGAAGACCCCGATGACCCCAACTTTTTTTACGAGAATTAGCCAACCCGGGCACAGGTCAAACGACCCACAACGGAGCCTGGGGGGCGAAAAAAAAAGAACGGAAAGAAATTGAAAATATAGAAAAAAAGGTTATACTGTATTAATCTACACCACGAAGATGCCGGAAAACCAGCTTTTTAAAGTGAGACAGATTGTAAGAGCATGGAAACACAGAAGAAGGCAAAGCATTCCGCAGTTTGGCTGTGTGAGGAAAGAAGGAGTCTTCTGAGTCTAATTAAGGTAAGCACATAGGTGGATAGGTTAGGTTACCTAACCTAACAGGCAATGTCCTAACCTGACCTAACCTAACTAAAAAAAAAAGTGATTTGCCCCAAAGATAAATGTTAGAATCAACTAAAGCAGCAAGAAAATTAACGAAAAAATTTATTTTTCCCATGAAAAGAGGTGATGGGTGGTTAACGAAACGAGAGCAACGCTGCGTTTCACCATATCATCAAATTGGGATTTGGAAAAATTTGTGATTTTTACAACTTTATAAATCACAAATATCGAGTTTATTTTTGGAATGTGCCGCTAAATTCAATTATATTCTTTCGTTTCTCAATGAGATCTACTAAATGGTAAGAAAAAAAATCATAAAAAGGTGATGGGTGGATAACGAAAAATAACCCAAAACACATCAAAAATCATCAGAAAAAAACAATTTCAACTTCCAACAACTTAGAAAAATACACAATTTTCAGTCTTTGCGATTTTCTCTGAAAGTAATCATGACATAGATAACGGCTAACACCAGAATGAATTGTCCAAATTGGTTGAATTTTTTTCTACACACTAATATCATGATACTAAACACAAAAATGGAAGAGACAATGCCTAGAACCTAACCTAACCTGACCTAACATACCCATAGGTTGGGTATGTTAGGTCAGGTTCTATTAGGTTCTCTGCATTATCGTGTTAATTTACGTGTTAAACAACTTACCTTAATATTGAGGTTGATATACATCAGCAACGGCGAGGAGGAATCCGTGGAAGCGTTCACCATCATCTAGGAAACGTCTCTTGAAGAGGGATTCAGGGAGGTAAACAACAAAAATGGCGCCGGGAGGAGAGTTGTGAAGCGGGATAGATTAAAAAAAATAAAATAAAATACTTAAAATCCTAATATAAAGTTGTCGTTTCTTTTAATATACTTCAAATCATCAAAACAATAAATAAAGCAAACATTAAGAAAATTAACAGACAACTTCTGGTGGTAGCCATTATTTCCACCTTTGCCGAGAAGTGTGTAGTGGATGTCTCCCCTACAAACTAACTGCGTAGCAGCCCACCACCTGCCATCACATTCCAATGTGCCGCCTTCCCTAGCAACCAAGCGTATCCGCATTCCAATGCCCGCCGTATCTTAGCAACGGAACTATTCACCGGCTACTTCTCGGGTTTTCCCACCATGACTCATAGCGGCTGCTGCGGGGTATATAAGCTCTGTCTCTCCCTTGAGATTCAGTCTGACCAATCTTCTTGAACAAGCAACACCTCCTCTGCCGCTGCCTGGCGACCCTCGCCTCTCCTCCGCCTGCCTGGCGGTCCTCGCTCCCGCCAGCGAGCATGTCCTTCTCTGAGCTTTCTCACCAACCAACTCTCATTCTGCCCATTTTCCTGAACAAGCAACATCTCCTCCAGCAAGCTCCACGCTGTTAACATTTCATTCAACCAGGAGGCCAGCAACAGGCAACATCTTCTCTAACGAAGCTCCTGCACATCTACCTCCTTCAACACGCTACTCACCGCACGTCTCTACCAAGCAGCCCCTCACCACACGGCACCTCCAGCACCAGACTGTCTATCATATAACTTATATATTATACAAGAAAACCACCTTAGAGTTTCCTTCCATCCTGAGTGCTAGACAACATTAATATCTCGATACCCCTCCAAGTGTCTTAGAATTGTCTAAATACAGATTCCAAAACTTATACAAAAGAAAGTGACATACAAGTTACCAGGAATAGAAAATTACCCTAATAATTACCCTGGTTCGTTTAGTGATCTTCGACGTAATGTTCACTGATGTCTGTCTCTCTCAGTCACTTATAACATTCAATAATAAACATAAAGACTCACTTGTTCAATATACTGTATGTACATCTATATTTACATTAAAAGTTGATTTTATTATATAATTAAAAATATATAATATATTATTTATTGTATAATAATCTAGATTAAGTATTTTCATGTACTAATGAACTTCAACTTTGTTTTGTTTACAGGTTGTTGTTGTGATGAGTGGCTTGAGGAAATGAAATTTTTATTTACGTATTTTTGAAGGCTTATGGCTGTATTAAAAGTTGTACACTAAATATATGGAATGGAGATTTTGTTTTATTTTAATTAGAGTCACTGATTAAATATATAAAATAAATATAAATATCTTACCTGCGACCGCTGAACTTCATCCAACGTCGCTGATTGGCTAGCGATGACATCACTTATTAAGCTCCGCCCACTGAGTTACATCAGCAGTAGAGGCGGGATGTTCACAGGTGAAGGCGGAGTGTTCTTACATTATAATGATTTATTGCGCTGTAGCCACCTGCAAATTGAACTCAGAAAAGAAGAAAAAGTGTGTATCTTTTTATTCATTCCCTCGGGACATAAAGTTAAGGGTAAAGTGGCTAGATGTCTGTAAAAGAAAAGATATCAAGAACACCAAACAAGTGAAGTCGTGACAGTGCATTTTAAATCTGAATATTTTAATTACCATTTAGCAGTAGACAATGTAAAGCTTTCTTTAAACCCGCACTAACGTCTAACAATAAATCTACCTGGATTAGGAGGTGAAATCAAGAATGCTACAACGTACGAAGATCATATATTGTAAGTACATTAAATATGCATACGTTTTGTTTCCTGTTTTATATATAATGTATTATGTATTTTAAATTGTCAAAATATAACTTAATATGAATCTAGTAGACTGTTACTGTGGGCTATTTTTTTATATAAATGATAGTCAGACAGTAGCCTATAATGTTCTCTATACTTAAGCAATTATTATGTGAAAAGTTGAACCTCTTAATTTTCAAATACTGTACAGTATATATTCGTACCCCTAAGGAACTTCCTGTAGCTTACTATATAGTCTAGTGTAGACCAGTGCTTTTTTTAATGTATAATTATTTAAATAGACTTCTATATTATATTCTAGTATAGACCATTGCATTTGCTTTCATATGTGACTTGGGTGTCAAAAGAAATCGTGTACTGCAAGTGTTGTATTATACCTATGGCAATTATATACCGTATTTACATTTTGTGAGAATGATATTATTAACTGTAGCTTATAATTAAGCTATTTGTCAGTATTACATTGAATAATGAAATACTAGTTTAGCCTACCAGATCAAATTAGATTAAGGGGCGCGGCCTAGCGATCTCGAGAGTAAAATTGCCAATTAGTTAATTCCTAGGGGCCTGCGTGAGGCTACCTACCTTGGCCTCAGGGACCAAACAATATGATAGGAGCGAAAATCTAAACATAGTGCGATTTAATAAAATTCATAAGCCCCTCAAAGGGCGCTATTAATTCAAATGCAATCTCACACATCTGGAATTAGCAGTCGCTACTTCAAAATATTAAAAAAGCTAGCCAGTAAAAATAAATAAATAAAGGTAGAGGAGACCCATCAGAAATAACTTATGGAATTGAACCAAAATTTCTGGATACTATCTACTTTTTTTTTAGGGGGCTTGGGGGGCGAAAAAAAGAACAGAAAGAAATTGAAAATAGAGAAGAAAAAGATTATACACTGTACTTGCTTCATATCTATATTTTCTATTAATCTTATTTTCTTGCTGTTACAAGTAGCAAAATAAATGTTCAATTCTTGGTTACATTAAACAATTGTTATGTTATTTCATTGTCAATACAGATGGTTATATGACACACTTGACAATATCCAAAATTAACACATTTATAACATCATGTTATTTCGGAATGAACAAAATGGTACTTTTCCCTTAGTTGTTGGAGGGATGAAGAGAAAAGATAAAGTGAAACGACACCTTCGATACATAATTGTATTTTTTCTATTATTTAATACACTATACTATATTATTTATGATGAAAACATGCACCATAAGAGGCTGATCATCCGAGAATATAATAATAAATAAATTACAACAAACTGGAAAATGTGGCCGGTACAGCCAGTCCCCACGGCCCACCTCCCAGGAGGGGTGAGTTTTCAGGGAACCTATTCCCTTGTGATGCAACTTGTCTTTTATTTTGAAGTTAATTTATATAATGTATCATATTTTGTTCAATTATTTAATAATTTATAATGAAACATGCACCAAAATAGGCTGATTATACGAGAATACTGTATAATAATGAAATAAACACGAACTTAATAACGTGGCAACGGCCAGTCACACACACCAAGTGTCATCTCAAACTTATTAGCTCATATATCAGACCTGGTGAGACCTTACTTCCTAATTAAAGACAATATATTCTCTACTTAGAATGCTAGCCATTGTTTATGGGTTAAACAGAAGAGGAAGTATCGCTGGGGCGTTTAAGCCTGATTACATAATACACAAAGTTGGTGAGAAAGAAGAAAATAAAAGATAAAAGATAGAGTTTTAGTTTAGTTTAACAAATTTATTGGCAAAGCTTATAGGACAGTTTGCCTATTCTGAGTAAATCAGTCAGGTCTTGACACTGAGGGTGGTATCACTTCTCACTGCCACGCAGGACAAAGGTTCATACGCAAAGAAATACATCATATTCATTAACAGCTATATATGTATAGAGGTCAGATTCATGTGGGTAATGTCACTCTTCACTGCCATACAGAACATAAGAACATAAGAAAGGAGGAAACTGCAGCGGGCCTATTGGCCCCTACTGGGCAGTCCCATTAATACCCAACCCCTATTGCTCATATAAACATCCAACCTATGTTTGAAGCTACCCAGCGTATTCGAGTTAATGATGATATTTGGTAACTTGTTCCATTCATCCACTACTCTGTTTCCAAACCAGTGTGTACCTATTTAGGGTTTTTCATGCGTCTACAGTAGTGGAGACTGGGGCGAACATGATATTTATAAAGTTGAAGGAGCATTTTCTTGTCTTTATATTAGGAGGTACGCTTTATAATTCCTAAATCTTTTTTTTTTCACTGCTGCTCTTATTTGTTGCGCCACCTTTCAGTGACTTCTTTCACAACGCCAATATTAACAGAATAGTGGTGATTAGAGGCTCTAATTTTTTAACGGGAAATAATACAAAATTGTGAAGTTTAAGTTCTGAGAGACAAAGGAAAATAAGCCGGTTAACAGACAATTAAGCAAATGCGATTGTGATGATACAAATAATGTCAAGATTATTTAATAGAAATTCGGCGCAACTTGAAAGGCAATCACCGTTATAAAAGCAAATAACCAAACAAACTCCTGACATGAAGTCCATAGTTTTAACCATTAATGGGAAGAGCCAAAGTTGCGGGCACATCCCAGGGAGCGGCCGTGAGGATGCCAGGTAAGGGCGGTTGTGTGTAGGTGGAGCAGCCAGGTAGGAGAGTTGGGAGTCAGACAGCGAGAGGCGACAGTGTGTCTGGTGGCACGGTGGTGGATGTTACAGGGACTTCCAGCTCTCCTTACCTGTTACGCTTACTGAGTGGGAAATTGTTCTTGAAATATTGACCCTCAATATTCCGCGGCAGAGATACCACGAACGCGTGCGAAACTTTAGTGAAGTGTATTACATGGTTTTTTATGTTTACTTTGAAAGGACGTTGGTAGACTGGACACCCTAATAACACAATAGTTACATTTTTAAAGCGATCAACTACCACAGTTTCAGTGCTGTCCACGATCTCAGAAATGATGGAGTTACACTTTAGTAGCTGTGGCTTAACTCTGTTTAAGTTATTGTTTTAGGAACAACGAACTGGTTCAAGAAAAGTGAAATTAAGAATTGTTGAAGGAAGTGTTTGTATAAAATTTAACAACTTAGAGGAATGAGAAAATACAAAAATGTTGGCATAACTCACAACTGTGTTGAAATTGTTATGGCAGTTAAAAATAATCTATTACTGTACTGTATACTAGAGAAAAAGATCATTCAAATAAATTATTTGGAAGCCAGAGTATTATCCCTCTAGTATTGCGTGAAGTGGAATTTATGTGAAAAAGGCCAAAAGGCAGTTGGAGAATTTTGTATAGTTCTTGTTAACGAGCTTGACCCCTCAATGACCCCCTCTGCACACACACACACACACACATTGAGCATCAAGATAGCCCGAGCTCAGCCAAGCATCACTGTGAGAGTGACTTCGTGTCGGCATGGGCAGTTAGTAACAATGCTGTGCTGAGGAGTGTGTTTGGTGTGTAATTAAATGCATGTGTGTGTAGCAGTTGAGAAAGTCACCGGTGCAGATCTCAGGGTGATCACCACCTGGTAAGTCGGGAGAGGCACGTGTTGCCCCAACTCTTCCTGTGTAGTTAACATGTCACTTTTTTTTACGGCCTAGAAGACCACCTAATAAAGGGGTCTTTCATTTTAGGTTTTTGTAACATTTGCGTTAACAGAAAGTTAGCCAGGAACATTCCTAACATGGATGTGATTTGGGGTATTGAAGTTACATTCAGTAGCAGTATAATGTAAGACAACGAAAACTAGTCCTGCTGTCTGGGATCGTTCATATGTTTTGTAATGGCAGGTTAAGTAACCATCATAATGCTCTGCTGTGATTGGTTCGGACACAAATGCTTGTAGTTAGTGTGGTTCTCATCGCAAGGTGGAAGAGCTCCCGCGCATTGAAATACTAGTGAATGACGCTGTCGTTACTACGTGGTTTAGTTTGGCAACAGACTGAAAAGAAGGTCGGTATCCGAGCAGGATACTCGAATGTGGCAAAAAAAAAAGAAAAAGAAAAGAAGAACAAGAAAAAAGAACAGGCCCCTAACACTATTTTGTCAGTAAATAATTTTTTTGTAGTTTGGGCTACCAAAAAAAAAAAAACACCCTCAAAAGTGATGTTAAAATTACATATCTACATCTGTTTATTTCCGAGAAGTGAGCAATAAAAAAACAAAGTATAAAAAATTCTATTCAAAAAATGTCCACTTTTTTTTTTATTTTCTTGGCATCTGATGAGTATTCATTGGTCTTTTAAATCATTAGGAGAAATAGAACATATTGTAGAGTGTCAGTGTTCCTGTGAGTTTTTCCCCTGGCTGGTGGCCATTGTTTGGGATAAAAATAATATGCTTCTTACCCCATCTACACAAAACACTTGTAGACATGAAAACGTTTTTTTATACATTTGTTGCATGTATAATTGTGTGCGTAAATTAGCGTAATTTGACCTAAAAGACCTACAGTAGACTGAAGAAAAAATTAGTGCCAGGTGAATCTGACTGAATCATCGCCAGATGATCACGTGTCACTGGCAGTCTGTCAGATATACTGTACAGATGATGAGAGTCCATTTTAGATTTAAAGTAATGGGGAATTATGAAATGTACAATTTAGGATATATTTTGGTGGGATTATATCGTAAAAATGGTATATACAATTTCTTTTGCTGCATAACTCCAACGCAATCTGTTTACTGCAATGAGAAGGTAATTGTTTTTACGTTGTTGTTATAACAGATTCATACGCGTTTATGTTAAGTTTGACGTATTATACTGTACTGTATGAGTGTCTTAAATTGATTTTAAAATGGAATTTATTTTCTGCATGTTTACTGTACCTCTGTGAAGTGAATCCATTGACACCACTGTTTGTTTGTTTGTTTGTTTTTCCACCCAAACAAGGTTCGCTTTCGCCCTTTTCCACGAGGTAATGAAAAAATAATAATTTTTTTTGGTATTTTCATAAACTTTTTATTTACCTGCAAAAAATATTATAAATAAAATTAAATGTAATTTTATTCCCAAACTTGGCCTTTGTGAATTGAACCACTAAGTTTGTGTCTTTACCTAATAATAATGATTTTAGGACTAAGTTTATGGTAATTGTTTTTTTTAATAACCATATTAATAGGATACCAAAGTAAGATGTAAGCGAATCCAAAGTCCAATGGATGGGCTTTATAGAAGGGTTTGCACGCCAGTATCAGATACAGGTGTATTTATAAGTGGAGAACGGGGTATCATAGCTGCCTCTAGAGGAGGGTGGTGGACGGCCACAATGTATAATACCATAACGAGGGCGAACTATTTTCACAGAATTACCAAATTTTGACTGATTAGATGCCAGATCTGGACAGACATTGTGGAATATATGGATAGGCATGGTAAAGGTTTTAAGTTTCGAAATTCTGTAAATATATTTTTCTTTGGTTTCTAAGACCATTACTCTATTGTTTACACATAACTGTTCCCTCAATAGACATACAGTATACAATGCGGTATAACATTGATTTGTATTCTTGCTATGTTCTCATTGAAGCAAAATTTCATAACGGGCAGTAATGGCCCATTGTGGAAAGGTTTCAAATAATGTGAAATAAGCTTGCCAAATTATACACCATAAAATTCCATTAATTTTCAAGCAGCGAATGGTACTATCTCTTTCAAGGTGCGTTATAATAAGGCACTTTCTACACCAGTCAACAGCAGGTATAATACATATGTATGTCTTATGTATAATAGGACCTAAGAGGGGTCTTTAATTACCAATGTGTCTCATTAACATATAGACATTCCAGGACATCTCTTCCTAACAACACCAGTCATCTCCAGTTGTCGGTGACCCCTCGCTGGTGAGTGCTGGTGATGCGGAGAATCTTGGAGTGGGGGACTGGTGATGAGTAAGGAGGTGGTGAAGAGTCAGGTGATATTGTAATGGTGGTGGTGGTGGTGGTGAGTCTTGTAGTGGCGTACTGGTGGTGGTGATGAGTAAGGAGGTGGTGTACTACTGGTAGTGGTGGTGAGTCGGGAAGTGGTGTACTGGTGGTGGTGGTGGTGAGTCAGGTGGTGGTGAGTCAGGTGGTGGTGTACTGGTGGTGGTGGTGGTGATGGGTCAGGTGATGTTGAACTGGTGGTGGTGACGTGGTAATTGGTGGCCCAATTTTGGAGACTGTCTGTTCAATAAATCCTGGAGACGGTGTAGTCGGGAGCCGAGTTGTTGACACTGATTCCAATGGTGGAGTCGTCGACATATTTCCAGCGAGCTAAGGTTTTTCTTAGGGCACCATTGATAAACCATAAGGAAGCAGAGCGGTTCCATCTTGGTGCCTTGGGGAACGCCACAGGTTAGTGACTGAAAGGTGGAGACAGCCCCTCGGAAGCGTACGGCTTGACGTTGGTCACTAAGGAAGTCTGTAAGCCATGGTATAAGACAGGGGTGTCAAACTCATTTGCCAAGGCGGGCCAGATTTAATATGAGTACACAGTATGCGGGCCAAGTAACATAATTATGAGCACTTCGCAATCACTTCTTAGGTGAGTAGTACGACAAAATAAGCTTGATCAATCTTATTGTTTGCTACTGTTGCTTCCTGATAATTGGCACCTCTTGGTATGGACCAGTGCATCAAAGTAATTAAAGTCGTTAGGACTGAGCTGTAGCAACCTTCCGTATTGAATTAAGGAGCGCATCAGTAAGTTGAGACCAAAGCCGAGACTTGTTCAAGTTCATCACAGAAAAGAGTTGTTCACAGACATATGTACTTATTAACATAATCTTTGAGGCAAAACATTTAATCCTGGGATAATTTGGTCCAAAATATTGATAAAATGTGCCAACATCAACACTCGAAAACTTGTTCAACACAGAATCACACTGGAGCTCATTGGTGATGGTGATTGAGTATATTATTCTAGGAAATAGCGGACTATTTTATTCAGCTGAGGGATACACTCACTATTTAATTTAGCTCCTGAAGGTAAGGCTGGAGCAGCAAATGGGCCGCGGGCCGCATGCAGGAGTGTGTCGGGCCGCATGTTTGACACCCCTGGTATAAGACTTCTTCGAAACCCGAGGTCGATAGTTTTGTTGATGATTAAATTAGTCGACTAGGTCAAATGCATTGGTGAAGTCAATAGAACGGTAGAACAAGCGTCTTTAATTTTCCAGATATTTTATGGGTACTTAATTTTGAGGTGGCCTAGGGGTGGTAATAGAATTGATTGAAAGGAGTGTCTCTGGTGGGTGAAGAGCAGGCGGACAGTATACCACACAGTATATGATAGAGACAGTGAGGCGAGGGTGGGCACATGTCACAACACGTGCCCATAATGCCTCCACATCAGCTGGGGCTAAATCATCCAGGCATGACGGACACAGTTCATCTTGACAGAAGAGGGCAATGCTCCCTTCCATCCACGTCCATGTGAACGAAGGTGATGAAAGAATTGATATCCCTCAATGTGGCAAGTTTCAGGAACAATTTGCCAAGCTTCGTGTGTGTGTGTGTGTGTGTGTGTGTAAAAAGAGATAAAAGGGGGTAAAAAAAAGAAACTAAAATTTTACTTTTTATTTGTATTTTTAAGAGTAGTATACGTATATAAAACATAAATGAAAATATGCATCCTTATATCTTGTAACAAAATTGATAAAATTTATACAAATTCAACACATTTTAGCGATCTTAGATACTTCAATTTTTTCAATATTTTTTAATTTGCATCAACACTGCCAGAATGGTAAACTTTGTCTATAATAATTATGTATATCATCTGCATATAATAAAACACTAAATATTGAAAACAACATATGCATATAGGTTTGTTTATATATATATATATATATATATATATATATATATATATATATATATATATATATATATATATATATATATAAATACATATATTACCAGTAGAATAAACTAGAAGGAGGAGAGAGAGGAATAGAATGAAAGACGGGGGACAGAGAGACAGAGGGAGGGTTGACAACAAGCTTTGCTGAGGTGTGAAACAGCTGGCCCTCGCCTAGGCTGACTAGCTCGAGCAGTCTCTTATCCGTCCAGTGGGGGTTGGTGGTAAGCGTTCACTGATCGAGGGTCCGCTTACACTTGCAAACCTGCGGTATCCTTTCATACCTGCAGGTAGGATAACCTCCATCCCCAATCCCAAATCCGGCCTGGCTGCTCGAAGAGCTCCAGCCGGAACCACCAAACGGGCCGCCTACAGGAAAAGGCCCGTGTCGGACTACGGTCCGACAATCTCAACAACAACAGAAGATCGCGGAAAGATGTTATCACTACCAGAGACATGACCTTCCTAAAACCGAAACTGACAAGGAAACGCTATATACTTCAAGAGGACTCCCGACGCTCACCTTAACCACGGAGCCGGGAACATCTCACCAGGGGGAGCGCGGAAGTACTTCCGAGCATCAAGCTCGCTCACCGAAACCACTAACGTTGATGAAGGACCATAAGTGACGACTATGTGAATAACGTGCATAAATACAAAAGGAAGCAAGGGAAGCCTCCTGGGATCGAGTGGATGTTGGAATTCACTGTGGATATGGTCGACAAGGCGGAGGAGGCCCCAAGGGACAAGGACCGGAGGAACCAAGCTGAATATATGCAGACTCATCCTCATGCCAATCCTCGTCGAGGAAGAAGCTTGTGGTGTCTGGTGACATCAGGAATAAAGACAACCAGAGAAACGGACGATGAACGCTACTCGTTATGCCGCGGAGATCACCTTCTTCAGATGTGTTGGACATTCCTTAGCATGTCCACAGGGAAGCGAACTTCCCTGGTAAGGGAAGAACGTTGCTCCTCAGCCAGCCTGAGTCGTAATCACCGGATAACGGGGTGCAGCCAGAAGATGGTGTGTGGTATAGATGGCTGTTCTGGAGTGCACTCGAGGCTTCTACACTTCACGGGAGTTCTGACGAGCAGTACCAAGGCTGCAAGCATTGGGAAGGCCAGTTTTTTCCCTCTCCATTGGCACGATCATGAAAGAAAGAAGCAGTGCAAACACCGAAGAGATCAGTGTAAAAGTGGTTAGCGTAGGAGAAAGAAAGAGCCGACCCATCACTATCCCCAAGGTCATTGTTGTTTCACCAGGAAGAACCGGAACTCCCGGACAATAAGAAGTTTGCTGAACAGCGATTGGCGGGACTGAGAAATGCCTCCTAAAGAACCCAAGGCTCTCTCAGAGGTATCAAGAAGAGATGAGACGTCTAGTCGACTAGGGACATGCTGAGCGAGTCCCACGTCAAGAACTCATTGTTACACCCGGGAACACCTGGTATCTCTCACACCACCTCGTGTTGAATCCCAACAAGCCAGAAAAGGTGAGAATAGTTTTGATTGTGCAGCCAAATGTGAGTTGATGTCATTGAACAGCCAGGTGATGCAAGGGCCAGACCTTAACAGCAATTTGATGGGAGTCCTCATCAGATTGAGACAAGGAAAGGTGGCGCTCGTGGCTAATGTAGAGGCAATGTTTCACTAAGTGCGAGGTTATTTAAAATCTTGTGTGTTTTCTCCCGGGAATATGGGGTGGGGCATTCTGTCCAATATTGGGCACCTGATCTGTACTTTTTGCACTTGCGAGTCCCCTCATTGTTAGCCTCCGAATGATTGGCTGTTCCGATCCGAGACATATTCAGCAGAGATGCTGCCTCTTCAGTCGTAATGACAAGAAACAGCTCTACAGTATGACCATATGGATTGTGGGTGTATGGGTGCTTGAATCTATGGGCGTTGACGAGATGCCAATCTTTCCCATGAGAGTCCCTGTACCAAGGTCCTCCTGGGGTATAGGGGTTGTACACAGGCAGGCCAAGGTTTCGGGTTGACACAATAAGTCTTGAAGTGCTAGTGACCTGAAAGTCCACAACTTCTGTGAAGTGTATCTTGTATGACCCCAGTGTCTGAAGGAGGTTCTTGAAATTCAGTGAAAGGGTCACGTTTCCATACCAGTTATGCTGTCCGTCGTCTGGCCCATTGATGCCAAACCAAATCCCTTCCTGACCATCCAGTTCAGAAATGATGTGTGTGTGTGATGTTTGAGTAAGAATTTGGGGTATGAATCGTTGGGCCATCCGTATTTGGTTGTAATCTTCCAAGTGCACAGTTCTAACTATCTCCTGAAATTCCGTGTAATAATTTGAAGGAAGCTGAAGGGAGTGCTCCGGCCTTGGTTTCCAGCAAGTGTGGGATGGTCTATGAATCACAGTTTTGAGAAGTTGGTCTTCCTGAGCCGCCGCCATCACGTGTTAAAACTGAAAGAATGACAACACTTAGACAGACTGAAACACTTGGGATTAAGCTTAATTATTCATTTGCTACAATAAATTTTTTCTTCTTTTCAATCGTACTCCGGTTATTAAGGTAATAAAGTCTGCACTCATAAATCTTCCATTAGTTAATGAGGTTACTTCCGTTAGCAAATTTAAAAGTAGGAAAATTATGGAAATTAATGCTCTTACTTTTCCACCACAAGATTTTAACGGTTCCTTCAGTAATCTGTAAATCAATAAATAATAAAACCCACAGAAAAGACAATTGTCTTAGAAATGTCTATAGAAGAGGAACAGTTGTCAGTTGTTAAGGAAAGATAGAATTTTTTTTATTTTAGCGGTTAAGTGATTAGTTTTATATGAGTAGCGATAGTGTGTAACCTTAATTAACAATAGGTTTAGGGCATATTAAGTATCACCTGAATATTACCCCACATAATGATACTTTGGGGGTCTAGGTTATAATAGGCTAGCGGTAGCAACCTGGGGTGCCTAATCTTCATGTGATCCAAAGTATTGAATATCCATTTGGCAGACACGATATTGCATGAGTTGGCAACTGTAGCTACTTTGTTTTCCCATATTCAAGTGAACAGGAACGTTTCGAGTACATAAGAACATAAGAATGGAGGAAGCTGCAGCGGGCCTATTGGCCCATACTGGGCAGTCTCATTTACACCCAACCCCTATTGCTCATATAAGCATCCAACCCAAGTTTGAAGCTATCCAGGGTATTCGAGTTAATGATGATATTTCGTAACTTGTTCCACTCATCCACTACTCTATTTTCAAAACAATGTTTACCTATTTCGCGCCTAAATCAACCATTGTTACGAGTTCGCTCCTGGTTGGATAGTCTGAGTACCTTTGTAATGTCCCTTGA